CAGAATTAACAATCTCTTTCCACAGTGTGCAGGTATAGATGTACGTCTTTGCGATGTTGGAGAATCAATACAGGAAGTGATGGAGTCGTACGAGGTTGAAATAGATGGGAAAACGTACCAAGGTATTGACAGAAATAGGAAATAATCATGCACATTCTTATTAATAATAATATTAATCTCCTAAGCGGACATCATTTTGTGTGTATTTCCTCAGTCAAACCTATCCGGAATCTGAACGGACACTCTATTGGTCAGTATCGGATACACGCCGGTAAAACCGTGCCTATAGTGAAGGGAGGAGAAGCCACCAGAATGGAGGTGTGTGTTTGTCATTGAGGATATCCGTATCACTTTGTCTGGAGTAGCATACTACTTTTACTATTAATGCAGTATGTATACAGTGCGCAAGTATGCATGGAATTTCACGGCATTCTCTAATCTTAAAGGTGTCCATTTCACATTAGCTATGTTTAGAATAGCATACTAGATTACTACTCTTTCTATTTCTGCAGTATATGCTGCATGGAGGGCTGTAATAACCCATAACCATAATAACCCATAACCATCTTTTGAACATTCACATGGTTCTTGAAAAATGTATGCCTAATGTTTCTTGTCACGTCACATTTAGTTGTGAATTACATAAATCTAGTAAATAATAGCCTGTATTTTCAATTCAAAATGATGATTTTTTTTTTTTTTTTTACATTTGTCTTGTCATACTGCCATTTGTTTGAACTCTAAAACCTGAATGAAAACTGAAAAAGGCAACCATTTTTATTTGTGTTCAAGTGACAACAGTGTAGTATACTACTTACGGATTAATGTTCCTTTTATTTATTTATTTATTTTACTTTGTATACAGTATGATTTGTGTACAGTAGTATATAATCATGTGCAATCTACACTTATACAGTATTCATATAAAAATGTTATAAAAGCCCCATTGTTTACTATTGTATGCTAGCATATATGCTAAAGCTAATTGCACAAGCTGTGTAATTGTCCTTTCTGATAATCGCAACTCAGGAACTTGTGTTGAAAAACTGAAAAGGCAATTTGTTACATTCATCATCCTCTTTATAGAAAAAGCTATGAAGTATTTTGACTGGGTCTCTGTTAATTTCCATTGACGTCCAGGAGGGGGATGTGTTCGCTATTGAGACGTTCGGCAGCACTGGTAAAGGAGTGGTGCACGATGACATGGACTGCTCCCATTACATGAAGAACTTTGATGTTGGACATGTGCCAATCAGGTATCAGCCATACATAAATACACTACTAGTGCATAGAGTTCTGAAAGATCTGTTTCAGAAAACCTTTCTGATCTTAAAGGAATAGTTGTGACATAATGAGGAAAATCTGCTCAAATATATGGTTTTAAATTAGAATAAAGTGGTGCAGGGATGTATGGAAGCTTGTTTCCTTCACTGAATAAAACAAAGTAATTGCGACTTTTTATCTAATAATTTGGGGGGGTTTTCGCGCAACTGCGAGTTTATATCTCGCAATTCTGACTTTTTTCACAATTTCGAGCTTACATCATGAAGTTCTGACTTTCTCGCAATTGCTGTTTTTTTTCTGGCAAATGTGAGTTTATATCTGGCAATTCCGACGACTTTTCTCAGAATTTTTAGATATAAACTCGCAATTGCGAGTAAAGTCCAATTATGAGGGGGGGAAAAAGACTGACTTTTTCTCTCAGAATTTCGAGTTTATATCTCACAATTTTAAATTTAAGAAAATCTTGTGCGAACCACTGGCAAAAAAAAGTCTTCCTATTTCTAACTGCTGCACTCTATTACACAAGTGTTTTTATGAAAAATGTCTGCATTGTGTGCAGCATGTTTAGGTTTTACGAATATGCATCGCATGTGTCAATTTCATAAAAATGATTTTGTTTACGTTTATGCATTAGGCTGATGCAGCTATTTATACAACAATAGTTTTAGGTTTATGAAAATCTAAATTATAAAATATTAACAGACAAGCACATTTTATTGAAGTTTGAAGCTCATAAAGGAATAGTTAATCCAGAAATTAAAATTCTGTTATTGTTCACTCACCCTTCTATGGAAGCTTGTTTTCGCCACTGAATAAAAAAAAATATAATAATTGCGACTTTTCAGTTATATCTCGCAATTCTGACTTTATATCACGCAATTCTGACTTTACATCTCGCAATTCTGAGAAATAAAGTCAGAATTGCGAGATGTAAACTCGCAATTGTGAGAAAAAAATCAGAATTGTGAGATAAAAAGTCGCAATTACCTTTTTTATTTTTCATTCAGTGGCGGAAACAAGCTTCCATAACCTTCTGTCATTCCAAACCTGTATGACTTTTCTGTGGAACACAAAAGTAGACAGTTTGAAGAATGTTCAAACTGCTTTATTCTTTAAACCAGATTAATAAATTAAAAGAAACATATTGTAACCTTTCATTAATGAACTTCAGGCTGCCCAGGGCAAAGCACTTGCTAAACGTGGTGAACGAGAACTTCTGCACCCTGGCGTTCTGTCGCCGCTGGCTCGACCGTTTGGGTGAAAGCAAGTACCTGATGGCCCTGAAGAACCTGTGTGACCTGGGCATCATCGACCCCTACCCCCCTCTGTGTGACGCCAAGGGCTCGTACACGGCTCAGTTTGAACACACCATCCTGCTCAGACCTACATGCAAGGAAGTCGTGAGCCGTGGAGACGACTACTGAGACTTATTATGCATAAACACACTCCAGTCCCATGCAAAAAACAACAACAACAACAGGCATTCTTAAAAGAAGAAACTAGTTTAAACCCTGAAATGCTATTTTGACCATTCAGCATATACTCAGCATTAAGTTAGGCAAACTACTATGCATGTGTACAAGCCAGTGCCCGAATTAAGTGAGCAAGACAAAACCTTTGTACTCTTTTGTGCTCTGTGCAGTAAAAGAGATCATGTAAAGTATGGCTGCTTGGCTTTACACGTCACTGAAGGGCTTTTGCAAGAAAAACAAAATCATCAGGTAGTCAGTCGTAATGCGCACAGCTTTTAGTTATTTTTGGTAGCCTACCTATTACATTTTGAACTTTTGTTTTTTTTTGTTTTAAGACAAAATAAACTGTACAATACTTCAAATTGTTTGTAGTTCTTTACAGGTTAAATCTTTCATCATTGCAAAACTATTTTTTAGCATTATTCTTGAAATTAAGATCAAGTGGGTTTTATTAAGTGTTTTATTGCAAACTTTGAAACTCTGCTCAAGATATCAGGTTTTAAATTAGAATTATGTAAATGTTATGCTGCAGTTTTCTCAATAGTTTTAGGTTTTATGAATGAATCCTGAAGTTTTTTATTGTAAATATCAAGAGACATGCACTTTTCATTGATAATTGATAGAATTTCACCAAAATTTCAAGACAATCTTAAAAATAGTAAAGACAACATTTGGCAAGTTGTTTAGAAAAATGCAAAAATATTCTCCTTTTATTGAGGTAAATTTCTCTATGAATTGAGGTAACAATTTGCATAGTTTTACATCTATACTTGCTCGAATGATAAAAAAAAAAAAAGAACAAACCAGATGTGGAAACTGTAAGATATTTGAGCAAGTGTGTGTGTGTCTCACAAACACATACATCCAACAAAGTGTACAAACTAGAGAACGGTCTACGCCACACACAGACAATGTATACAGCATACATTGTCACTTGCTGGTGAAAAAAAAACTTTTACATTTTCCTGTAAAATGGGAAAAAAAAATATCTACCCAAATACCAGGTATAAAACTACATTCTGAGAAGGAGACAGAAAAATTCCTGAATCGACTCTTGTTTAAAACATCGTCTCAACATCGTTAACTCTTTTCCCGCCATTAACGAAAAGTTTTGTATCTCCGTTTTTTCCATTGTAAGCCCGGGACACACCAAGCCGACGAAAGCTGACTGTTGTCGCCTTGCGTCTGGACCAAAGAGATGAGCTTGAACACACCAAAAGGACTCAAGTCGACTATCGCGAGTTCTGCGCCAGCGTGTAAGTAAATATCTGTAGGTATTAATATTCTATATTCGTCATTCAAAATGGGAAACCAAACTAGGACTGCAAATTTACAAATCAGCGCTTGCTTACCAATTTGAATAGCAATCACGCTGATCACTTTTTTCTTTCCAGTCGGCTCATGTTATTATGAAAATATTCGTGCATTCAAATGCTCAGGTAAGATGGTCAAATTATAACAGCCTAATGTACCTTCTTGACTTCGTTTCTCGCTTTCGCTTTTAGTCTCGTGCACTGACTGGTTCGCTAAGCTGAATAGCCAATCAGTTATCTCTCTCTCTTGCCGACAGATAACACATAATTGCGAGTTTATATCTCGAAATTCTGACTTTACAACACGCAGTTGCGATTTTATATCACGCAATTCTGAGTAATAAAGTCAGAATTGCGAGATGTAAACTCGCAATTGTGAGAAAAAAAAAGTCTGAATTGTGAGATAAAAAGTCGCAATTACCTTTTTTATTTTTAATTCTGTGGCGGAAACAAGCTTCCATAGCAAACAGTGCGGAACACACCGAAAAACTAAGCCGACCAACGCTGAAAAACCGGCCGTTTGGGGTGTCCCGGCCTTTAAACGGTAGGGGTTATGATATCCTCTGAAAGAGTAGCCTACTGAATCTCGTGATCAAAACACAGGCGAATGCGACACAGAAACAAGCATATGGATATGTAAAATAACGCGACCATCAACATTAAACAGCATATAAATCAAAACCGCCTAATGTTACTGAATGAAATGTCGACCAAGGACGAGGTATAGGACTGTGAAGCGTTGATGGACTCGATCTACTCCATCTATGTTTTAATCATATTTCTGAATCCCTTCCTGACGTAGTCTATGACAAAAACAAAATTATCTCAGCTTTTTGCTCAAAATGTTGCCTTTTTTATGAAACTTACCCACATTCAAGTGTTGTGAATGCATGAAGCTAGAATAAAACGTTTTTGTTTTGTTTTTAAAGCAGAGGCTCCGTTCTTTTTGATATATTGCATGTTCAGATGTTCATACAACAAAATATTCAGGGGGCCATGAAACTTTTGTGAAAATGATCAAAAAAGCTGGCGTTGACTTCTTTTCTTTTCTTTTTTTTTGCTGGCGGGGAAAAGAGTTAAACTGATTTGACTTGGCAGGGCACTTTAAAAATATGTCTGAAGATATTAAAACACTTTTAATATGAAGAGAGAAAACATTGTTTCTTACACTTTCTTTCATACTGACGCTACGAACATTTCAGGCTCGGAACACATTCAAAACTCAACTTTGGTTTGATGACATCAATCAGGGAAACACAGAGACACTAATGAGGACATTAATGCTTCCGACTTGGACAATCTCGCTCTCTTCGTACATGCACACAAACGAACGCTACAATCACTGCATGAATGCCTCCTACCAAAATCTGTCAGTTGTATAACTTTAAGGCATAAGTGTGCGTGACAAAAACATACTCTCCACATTTGCTGTACACTAGAAAAAAGAGACAAGCTAACCGTCTCAAACCGATATCAACAGAATGTACAAAACAAACAGTCTCTGCGGTTGACTGGCTACTCAGCGGAGGTCAGAGGTCACTGGCTTTGCTTTTGTCCTGAGAGTTTCTCTGTGTGTAGAAGAGAATGTAAGCCTGGGCCTTACACACTTCCTCCACGGCACACACACTCAGTTTAGAGTCGTTACAGTGCACCCAAAACCCTGAGAAGAAAGAGGATAGGTTGCATTAACGACAAAAATACAAACTTCTACCTGAATAGATTTATAACAACTTCATTTAAACTTGCAAAAAAACTAAAAACAAACCCTTGACTAAGTTAATGTTAAATGTTTCAATATAATAAAATATAAATATAATTAAAGTCCCCCTGTGGTGAAAATCAGGCTTTGAATCTTGTTTATGTCTATGTGGTGTTTTAATATGTTTTAAGACAAACCATGTGCAAATTCATAAGTCGTGTCCTTAAAACTGCAGTGAACCAAAGACAGTCTCAAAAACATGGTACACTTGCACGAGTCAAACAAAAGTACCGTGCATACCTTTTTACAAATAATATATCCACTGCATGCAAAACAGATTGACAGACTGGACTATTCTGACGTGGCAGATGAAAAGAAGAACGTTTTACCTCCTTCCGTGTTATAACAAAAGGCAGTGTAGTGGCCGGAGCCAAATCCCTTCCCATGGTGCATGACGACAGCAGAGAGTTGGTAGAGGAAGTGTTGCGGGTGGGGTAAGTTACTGGAGTCTTTGCAGCAGTACGGTTCCATGTTCAGCTCCTGCTCAAACTGAACGTGCACGCCAATCTTCTCCCTGTGGTTTCGCCCGGACCACCTAAACACACACGTACACGTCAACATCTGACTTGACGACAGAAACCTCAAAGTTGGGAAAATCAAGGATTTCATGTGCTTGTGTGGATACCTGAAGCGTTTGAGGTGCAGTCTGAGAACATGAGGCAGTTTGTGGACCATCAACTGTTTTTGAGCTTCAGTCAAGACCACTTGCTTTGAACAGAATCGCCGTCGTTTGCCTTAAAGAGACAGAAAAACGAGAACTTTTTGATGATCAAGTGGGATTGCCTCCTCGGGAGGAGCGTTAAACCTTTGAGGTTTAAACTATCCCAGTTTAATGTTTAGTCAACTATAAGTTAGCCATTATTCAGAAGAATGTAAACACGGATGATTTCAAAATATTGCTCTCTTTGTTTGAGTGGCTTGACGAGAGCTTTAAAGGGATACTCCACTTTTTTTGGAAATAGGCTCATTTTACAACTCCCCCAGAGTTAAACTGTTCAGTTTTACCGTTTTTGAATCCATTCAGCCGATCTCCGGTTCTGGCGGTACCACTTTTAGCATAGCTTAGCATACATCATTGAAGTGGACAAGACCATTAGCATTTCTCAAAAAAAAAATGACCAAAGAGTTTCGATATTTTTCCTATTTAAAACTTGACTCTTCTGTAGTTACATCGTGCACTAAGACCGACGGAAAATGTAAAGTTGCGATTTTCTAGGCTGATATGGCTAGGAACTATACTCTCGTTCCTGCGTAGTAATCAAGAAACTTCACTGCCGTACCATGAGAGCAGCAGGCGTAATGATATGACGCAGCGCCTGAAAATAGTTCCGTTGTGTTGACGGAAGGTGGCCTATTTTCAGGCGCTGCGTCATATCATTACGCCTGCTGCACTCATGGTACGGCAGTGAAGTTTCTTGATTACTACGCAGGAATGAGAGTATAGTTCCTAGCCATATCAGCCTAGAAAATCGCAACTTTACATTTTCCGTCGGTCTTAGTGCACGATGTAACTACAGAAGAGTCAAGTTTTAAATAGGAAAAATATCGAAACTCTTTGGTCATTTTGTTTTTAGAAATGCTAATGGTCTTGTCCACTTCAATGATGTATGCTAAGCTATGCTAAAAGTGGTACCGCCAGAACCGGAGATCGGCTGAATGGATTCAAAAACAGTAAAACTCAACAGTTTAACTCTGGGGGAGTTGTAAAATGAGCCTATTTCCAAAAAAAGTGGAGTATCCCTTTAAGGCTCGTACACACCGGGACGAATATCGGCGCGCGTTATTCGGCAGCGTTTTTCAACGCGTTTTTTGTGTTCACACCCAAGCGATTTTTGCTGACGATGAGCCGAGTGAACATGCAAATTAATTCCCTGACATTAGATGGCGCCCATTTGCTCTGCAATACCACTCCATAACATTCTCTTTTATCAAGATTTTTGTAGTCGCTGTCGCGCTTGTCATATAGTTCTTTATGTTCCGAGACCAGCAGCTCTACATTCATCTTGCCTTGCATCTTCCTCGTCTTATTTCTTCCCGTCAGTGTAGACGCTACTTGGCGTATATCTTCTTCACCGTTACGTATGTGTGCTCGGCAAGACCGTTTTGTGTTTGAGCGCCCCCAAGTTGTGTTTTACTGTAACTTCAGAAGCTCCAGACACATGAGCAAAAGCGCCAATCTCATTGGTCGGATAGTTTTTGACGCGGCGCGTCAAACAAAAAAAACGAACCCGCGGCGTCTTTTAAAAAATGACGCTTTTACGCATGGTGTTTTTTGTGTCGGTGTGCACTCTCACATTGGCGCCCTTTGTTTAGTCACGAGGCCTTAAACGTCTGCGAATATCACGCGCGAAATTCGTCCCGGTGTGAACAGGCCTTTAGGCTCAGTTAATTATGTGAGTTTGGGGACGGGGTTATCTATTTAACTGGCCGATTGAAGACGAGCACTGGGTAGAGTGGGGTGCGGAAAAAAAAAAACCCTGCAGAAATAACACACTTCACTTTTGAGTGCCATGATATCCCTTTCAAGTTCCAGGCTATTTATTATCCTGTAATGTTTCCCTACAGTCACATTACATGTTGGCATGTTTCCAACTCACTGTTGCAGTGGTCGCAAGCATATATGGCTCCCTCCAAAGCCTCAGTCTCTGTAAACTTGGCCAGCATCTCCGTCAATCCACATGGAACCAGTGCGGCATCCTTACTGTTGCTGTGATAACGTTCCGGAAATTCCAAAGAAAGATCCCAGAAGGGCTCTACTGTGTTTGAGCGATGATCACATGCTAAACACCTCACCTACAAGAAGGGACACAGGGATTTTTAGCCAAACTGAATGTTAAATGTGTAAAAATGCTTAAAGAAGAAACCATATCAATTACGTGAACACAAATTAAATCAAGCGTGCGCAGGTAGAAGCATATGAAAATTGTCAGAGAATGCAAGAACATGCACCAACACTGAGAATACAACAGGTGCAGTGTAAACAGTGTTTTTCTTGGTCCTATGCCAAATGCCGCCCTAAGCCCTTGTCGTCCTTCACAATTCTGCATAGACTGTGGGGTAGTCGTCTTTGATGTGCACTTTGCAGCTTCAACAGGAGGGGCGCTTGTGAGCACCCCTCTGAAACCTAGAAATGTCAAATGGGACACCATATGGCAGGGTGTAGAATCCTACTCCTGGAGGGCCACTGTCCTGCAGAGTTGAGCTCCAACCCCAATAAAACACCTAAACCAGCTGATAGATTTTGAAGCCCCCCCAAAAAAAGCATATCTATCCATCCATCATAAAAGTAATCCATACACCAGGGGGTTGTAATTAATTGACATCAATCCAGGGGGTTGATGAATGCCTTCTGAAGCGAAGCGTTTTTGCAAGAAAAATACCCATATTTATAAACTATAATCTCTGGCTTCCGGTAATAGGCGTACGCGAGTTGAATTCCGGCGGAAGAGTGACCTCTGACCTGACGTAGGATGTAGGAGTAGCGTAAGCTTAGGTTAGACTAGACGACTCTCGCGGTTGGAGCAAACTCAAGCTCCTCCGACATTTGTCTTTAAAAATTCTCATTTTAGACTTCTAATTCCTGACCGGTGTTTGTTTTGCTCTATCCTCCGTCAATATGTCAAGCGTCGTGGCAGAGGTCACTCTTCCACTGGAACTAGACTCGCGTACCGGAAGCCAGTGATTATAGTTTATAAAGTTATAAATATGGATATTTTCCTTACATAAACGCATCGATTCAGAAGGCATTTATTAACCCTTAAAGCTTACTACAATTCCGATTGTGTTTGGATGAAAAGAAGAAAGTCATATACACCTAGATGAGTCAATTATTGGATAATTTTCAATTTTGGTTGAACGAACACTTTAAGCACCCTTGCAGTGCTTTGACTAAGTCTGTGCAATTGCATAGAGTTTGTTGCTGACCTAATGTTTCATGTTAATCAGCTGATGTGATTATATGGAAACCCATTACCTGACTGAGGAGCTGGCCATGAAAGATGGTGTTGACCACACTGAGCACCTGTTTGATAAGCCGTCTCTGATTGGCTGGAACAGTTGCAGGTGTAAGCGTTCTGGTCCGTTCCAGCTCATGCTGGACTTTATCTAAGAGTTCGCAAAGAAATTCCTGTGCATCCTGCTGTCCATAACCCCGGAACGCCGGGATCAGTTGCCACACGGAGTGCAGCATTGCAAATGGGGACACCAGAGCCCACTTGCCTGACCACATAACCTGGAACAGTGTGTGTAACTCATGGCAAAGCGAGATGTGTTTGGAGCTGGGCTCCTTGGGTTGTATAAGCTCCATGTTTCGTGAACGGGAGGCCCCTCCGCTGAGCCCCGACCACTGGGTAGAGCCTTTGGGCTGCGTCACGCGCTGAGCCGAGAGTCCTAACTTGCGGCTGACGGCAGAGGCTAGCAGTTCCAGCGCCTGGTTCAGATCCAGTCTCAAAAAGCACTCCCGGAATACATGCAAGTGACTCAGAACTTGCAAAATCGAGTTCATGTAGCAAGTATTGCCAAGATTGCGCAAACCCGTCACTCCTGGTGTTACGGTGGGTCGCCGTTTGATAGGCGAATCCCCTGTTTTAGGAGGTTGGGCCCGGGGCCGTTTGGCCTTGGCTTGTGGACGCTGCCTCTGTTGAGGCGTTCTCTCTCTAGGAGTTCGTGAAGTACGGGTGGAGACGCGAGCAGGAGCAGACCTACGCCTCACAGATTTGGTTCTATTGGCCGGCACTGGCGCGGGATCCGCAGAATCTGCCTTTAGGCTCTGGCGACGAATCCGATGGCTCTTCCTCGGAGGTGCGCTTTCCAGCTCCTCTTTGAGCTGCCGTTTGAGTTGCCGCCGCCTTTCCCGCGCCTCCCGCTTCCTCTCCTCCTCTTCCTCCTGCTGCCGCTCCTCCTCCAATCGCGTCCTCCCCCGTTCCGTTTGCACAAACCACAAGCGGAACACTCGACCAATCAGAGTGCGACGCCGGTGCCACAGCGCCGTGAACATGCGGTCCTCGTCGCGTAACTGCAGCTCCTGCGTGCTGGTTGACAGCTGGTCTCCGGCGGCGGAGGATGAGCGCAAGGTGCGCCCGCTGCGCGTGGTGACTTCATAGCACTGGCTCTTAATGGCGCTTAGCGTGCTACGCAGCAGCTTTAAATCACCCGTCGCATTATCATTCAGCACGTAGTCGTCGCACAAGTAGCAGTATACATACAATTCATTCACCTCCAGGGCCAAAGGGTGATGCTGCTCCTATGAACAAATCAAACTTCAATTGAATACAATATCTACATCCTTATAAAATAAGACAGTCTGATAAGTTTAAAAAAAAACTTTTTTTATGGATATTCACGTTTATATCTAAAGGTAAAGTGTATAATTTCAAGATCAACCAATAAATTACTTGATGCTGCATTTTAAACTGAGATGGGAGCAAGCATTTTAACGTCAAAAAGAAAATCAATACTTTTTTCCTCAGTAAACTAAATTAAACCATTTGGTGACTTATGTATTATTTATTTATATGGCTTTAAACAATACATCAATTACATGTATGTAACACATACCTTAAAGTGCTGAAGCGCGTGTTCTTCTATGTAGCGTCCGCACGCTACGTGCGAACAGCTGAGACATGCCCACACCGACTCTGTGGTGTTGCAGTCCACACAGTGCCATTTCTGCGGGTTTAGGATCGAGTGGTCCTGCGCGAGTCTTAGGCGACCCACGTGCTTACACCTGTCCATCACAGTCAGTCACTGCCCCTCTTCACATCACCGTGGTGACGGCAGCCAGCAGCAAAACCAGCTCCTCCCAAGGCATGATGGTTAATCTGCAGCGAAAAAAAGATGGATGCATGTTGTTTTAAAGACATATCATTCATTATTTCAGTACATACACAACCATTTTAAAGGTCAGTAAGATTATTTTTTATTTCAGTACACAACCATTTTAAAGGTCAGTAAGATATGTTTGTTTTTAAAGTGACAGTAACAACTTTTTCATTCTTACAAAAATGTCTAATAAATGCTGTTCTTTTGAAATATCTATTAATCAAATAATCGTGAAAGAATGTACCATGGTTTCCACATGCAAATCAGCACATTATAATGATTTCTGAAGGATCATGTGACACTGAAGACTAGAGTAATGATCCTGAAAAATAATTCAGCTTTGCATCACAGGAATAAATTATATTGTTACATATATTACAATAGAAAAGAGTTATTTTAAATTAAAATAATATTTTACAATTTTAATGTATTTTATCAAATAAATGCAGCCTTGGTGAGTATAGAAAACTTCTCTTAAGAAAAACAAAAAACGTATCTACCCAAAACTTTTGGATGGCAGTGAATGTGCGATGGTACAAGCCAAGGTCTTCTTCAGTAATTTGTGACTTAGTGATTCTGTATCAAATTAACCCTGAGATAGACAGTGTACATTATATCATATCAAGACAGCAATTTAACAGAACCATCATAAAACTATTGCTCAAGAGCATGGTTGATCTGACACAACAGGAGGAAGAATCTATTCCCGTCATTACACACACACACACACACACAAATAAAAGCGACCACATAGAAACTAACAATCTCTGTATTTCTCCAGTACAGTATTACCTAGGTAGAGTGAAATACACTATACAGAGTGATTACCATTTCAAGGTCCTCAAAGGTAATTCAAAAAATATCATCATTATCAGGATCCTACCATGGTACACAACCAACTGGAAATACTGTAGTATTTTGAAACATATCACTATATTCAAGGGGTATATTCAAATAACATGGTATTTACATGTCACTCAAAATACCACAGTATTTACATGGTACATGTAATGGTATATGTATGTATAAAAAAAAAGGTATTCCCATGGTGCTATGTCCAAAAAACACGACAGTAACTTCATGCTTCAAAAGAATCCCCGTATTTTAAAACTTAAATAAGGCACTTTAAACATCAGTAAATAACTGGCTTCGCATGTAAACAACTCGGCTTAAGCAAATGCAAATGTCCCTTATTTAGCTTCACAGATGCCTGATAATCTGTGTCACGTCCAAAATAACACCCAGTTCCTCGGGGCCCCACGTGTGTTTAACAAAAACAAACTAGTCACACTAGAAATACACCTAGTTTGTTGACATTAGTCTTATTTAGAAGGTTAAATATGGCTATGGCACATTGCTTTTGTAAAAGTTGTTACTGCACAGTCAGTACTTGTCTTTATCACTCTGCTTTTACGCGGATTCAATTCTGGTATTGTATTTAATCGAGGATGGACAAGCAAATTGATCTCATTTCACTAGTTAAACTCAGTTTGACTTTGAAGGTGTTTAGGCGCGCGAACGGTGAATGATGATTGGTGCTAACTAACTCCTTCATCTACATGGTTTCAAAGAGCTAACCCGGTTAACAGCTGAGCTCAGAGCAGCAGCTCAGCCTTTTTAGTGTCTCTAATGAGCCTGTTATAGAGGAAAGTTAACCAACACACGGGATGCTAGTGTGCTAATGCTAAAATTACACAGCACAGGAGTGAGACTGGGGTGCTGGGCGAGTGAAATACACTGATTGTGTTTTATTTCCGCCACTGGTGTAAACGCGATTAGATCGGAGCTGTTTAAAATAGGCGATATTTCACTAACCTGATTTTTCGTCAAGCACTGATTACTTCTGTGGCACATCAGCGAGCGCCATCTTGTCTACACTTGTCGCGTGGAGTGGAGTGTCCCTCTGTGACGTCATGCCGGAGAGGACACGCGAGCCGGTGTCCAGACCTCTCAAAACAAAAGAGTCGCGTTTAATATCTTGAAATGGATATTCAGATTTAAATAAAGTAGAAACACGCGAAGGGCGCGTGAACCAGTTTATACAGTGTGTATGATGACTATGTTTACGTGTCCAGTCGGACTCAACACTTTCACATACTCAAATCTCACTCGTCCTCGTGTGGAAACGAAACCATTAAATTGTATAATAATAATTCTATAATATGAAATGATTCCATCTCTATATGCCACACACAGTATAGAATTTCCTCATATTCCCCATATGTCAATTGAATAGAGATTATACTACTCGTCATTCTAATGTCTAGTATGTGAATTATGAATTATTTATCGACATTTAAAGGTACTAAATATAAATATTAAATTTGGTTTAATTCTGTTCAAAATCCTTTATATGAAAGTATATCCTATATATCTAATATAAAGGATTACACACACACACACACACACACATATATATATATACATATATATAAAGAAAAACATAATAAAATAACGATGGAAAAGTATCTTATTTCTGCAACAAAAACTAGAGTACCAATAAATCTATGGTTCGATCTTATATTGGATGGGCGTGATTATAATTTTGCACAGTTCCACTTTCTTGGTAAATTCTAACTGCGTGTGAGTTTATACGGTAGAGATAGTAGTACAGCACAGGGTTCTAGAATCAGATTCATTCACGCAAACGCGCAGAATGTAAATTCGGTCTTACATACTGCAACTGATCCCAGATCAGAGCCTCGTCGCACCCATAGGTCGCACCGAGTACGTCAGAGAATGGGCACGTGACGCCATTTCCGGTGCCGCGATGGCGGTGGATTTGACTCCTCGGTTCAGAAGACTGAACAGTCAAACCTGTTTCAGAGAGAATAAACAACTGTCAGGTATAAACAAACGGTTTATATGAACTTAGCCTCTATATTTCTGTACAGTTTGTTTTTAAACGTTACTTTTATATTTCCACCAGTTTGATAACGAACTAGACCAAATGAATCAAGATCCTTATCAGGTCATTCAGCTAAGTTAAACAGTTTTTTTTTTTACCATGTTTTCATTATGTTTATTATGTTTTCGGTTATGATGGAGGTCTTTAGCATCCCGTATTAAATAACAAGTTTTAAACTAGCTAATTTATATTAATGTAAATGAACCGAGACTTTTGTGCTTAATGTAAACGTAGTGACATGTTTACGTCATAACTATATTGAAACAGCATTATTATACTATTTATAAAGGCGGTTCTAATTTATAAAGACACAAAGTATAAAAGTGTTGGAAAGGTATATTGATATATCAGATGATAATACAACTCTTTGTGGAAATAATTGTGCTTAATTGTTTTGAATGTGCACTTGAAGTGTACTTCATATTAATAGTATATTTAAAAAAAAAAAGTATATTTTATATTTAAACAAATCACAACAATTTCAATATTCTTTTTTCACCAAGTGCAAGTTCATCTGGGGTTAGGGTTAGAGCACTCATCTTCCAACACGCCTCATCACGTCATATATTTTATATAAAATAAAAATAATTATATTTTTACATTTTCATAAACCTAAACTTCTATTATTATTATTTTAAATTTCCCTTTCATATTTTTTTTTCCTTTATGCAATAATTTGGCAAGTGTAAAAAGAGACCAAACTTAGGTCTGTGCTCCAACGTATTCAAGATTTATAACAATTTAAAGTGGAAATGTCATTTTGGGGTCTATTTTGGTACTTTTTGTTCATGTATGAAGACTTCATCATCTTGTCCTGATGTCTTTTAGGTTTCTCTGGGCCCTTCAGGGCCACCCAGCTGTGGCAGAACATCATTGAAGCCCTGCGGTCGCAGGTGGAGCTCCGACCCCGCAGACAGCACCTGCGCATCCATCATGACTGCTTCACCGGTTCTGACGCGGTGGACGTGGTTCTGAGCCACCTCATGCAGAACATCTATTTCTGCTCCAGCGAAGTGTCCCGTCTCAAAGCTGCCAGGCTCTGCCAAGCCTTAATGGAGTCTAGAGTGTTCGAACCCATCGGGATGAAGCTCTTCAGACGAGAAAAAGAAATGACCTTTGAGGATTCCAGCTGCAGCCTGTACCGCTTCCTGGACGGATCGGCCAAAAAGAGGTACAGTGGCGGTGAGAACCAGACTCCTGACAAACACACTGGAAAGTGGAAGACCTCTTCAAGGTAATTGCATTTGAATCATTGACACATCCAAAAGTTTAATTTGCAGTACTTAAGTGTTTAATGTTGTTTGTTTGTAGGTTTGGAGAAATGCAGACGATCTCCAACCCTTTGGTTCTTGGATCATCAGACAGAAGAGTGGAGAGACTACTGAAGAATATAAACCTGCACCCATCCGTGCCCTCTGATCTTCATCGTGCTGCAATTTCCAACAGTTTCCTCTCAAAAAAAGGTGATTTTGATTTTTAAAGAACATAATCTCTTCCCCTCGTTGCATTTGCATTTAAAGTCTTTTGACCACACAACAATGTGTTGTATTCACTTATCAGGAGAACTCTTAGAAGTACATTTCCTCACTGTGTTGATATAGTAATGTAAATAAGTTGGGGTGGAGCTTATTTAAGTGTTTGTCCTTTTCATAGCCTTTAGTTTACATCACAGGGCAAAACTATGGCTGTTTCTGGTAGTCTATTGTGGTCTGATGGGGTCTTTTGGGGTTTGATTTGATGTCTTTTGAGATGTAAATGAGTCTGAAGAGGTTTAAATGAAGTCTAAAGTGTTTTTTTTCTTGAATGTCTCATGTGGTGTAATGGTTCTCGGGGTTCAGATATAGTCTATTATTGTCTCTGATGAGTTCTGAATGGGCCTGAGGAAGTTCAAGCAAAGATTGAAATGGTTTCTTGGGGTTCTGAACGTAGTGTATTGTGGTCTAATAGAGTTTGATTTTGGTGTCTGTTGAGATCAAAAAGGGTCTGAAAGGTTTAAATGGAGTCTGAAGTGGTTTCTTGATGGTGTGTTGAGGTCTAAATTGGTTTTATGTGGTTTAATCAGGTCGGACGTTGTCTGATGCTGGTCTAATATGGCCTGTCTGCTTTTTTAAACCTTCAACCATTTAAAACTATTAAACTGTGTATATAATATCAGAGACATATTATTGCAATGCTCGTTGTATTGTTTTACTTACTATTTTTTACAGCAGCATTTCCCAAACTGAGGTTCGTAATGGATCTTTAGGGTGTTTGTGTGTTAATGAAAGCTTATAATTTATTAAATTCAAAAATAATTAAAAATAACTTAAAAAGTCAAAATAAAACACTTACCAAAAAGTTTTTTTTGTTTGTGTTTTTGTTCCATTTACAAGATGAGTTTTAGCACATTAAACATGGCTATGTGCTAAAACTCAACTTTTAAACTAGTTTTAACTTGCCATATCTTAAAGACACAATTGTCATGGCAACATGAGATGGTGAAAAACATTGACAAACGATTATGGTAAATGGACTGCATTTATATAGCGCTTTCCCAGACCCAATGGCCCCCAAAGCGCTACATTTTGCCTCACATTCACCCATTCACTCACTCATTAGACAGCAGTGCAGAAGGATGAATGACTAACTAACAGCCCTTACTTTTTCTTCTCTTCTTCTGTTTGTCTCAGTGGTGCGGGACGTTTGGAGGCAGCAGACGTTACTTCAGTTGCTACAGGTGGTTGAGATCTCCATGCTGGACTGTATTCTGACCTCGCCTGCCAAACCAGAGCCCCTGCGCTCATCTCTGCGCCACCACGGCGACCTGGTCATCTCCAACACCTGCGTGGATCGTGAAGTCTCAGAGAGTCTCAACCTTCATGAGTCAGTGCACAATACTCAGTGCCGTCACATTGATTCAGATTCATGTTTTTCATATGGGTTCACCTGTGTGTGTGTCATTCATCTCTTCGAAGGTTGGACTCTTGGCTGGTCGCAGCGGTTGATTGTCTTGAGCTGTTCCCAGATCAGTTAATCGTGGTTGCCAGTGAGCAGCTCATCCAGCAGAATGCATCATCTGGGGAGGGGAAGCATAAGAGACTGCTGTTCGACACCATCGCCAAGTATTACAACAGCCCAGAGAGACCTCCCCTACTGCCAGGCCGCTACACGGACATCCAGACTGGACTCATACATCTTTTGGGTAATTTGTAAAACACAATGGGCTCAGTGTCGTTTGTGTTCGAGGCTGTTTATTCTTTCTGCGTTATTTAGAATGATCTTTGTGTGTAGATTGTGGGAGAGGTCAGGATGCTTTGAGAGCGACTCAGCTCTGTCTGCAGATGTTGGAGTCCACGAGCAGAGACGAGTTACGCAGACTGTTGGGTTTTATGGCAGCCGCTGCAGATAATGAAGCTTTCAGACTGCACAAGCAGGTGATCAAGAGTTCAATCCGTTTAAACCATCGCATGAGATCGATTGATTGATTTAAAACCATTTTCTGTATCAGATCTCTAATCAAGTTCAAAGATCAATTATGTGTGTGTGTGTGCATGCATGCGCTCTTGGAATTCCTACTAAAAAAAGTGATACCCTTTTTTTCCCCTTTAATTCATTTTCCTTAACACAAAAAAATGATTAATTATTTTATTATTATACACTAACACTACCATTCAAAAGTCTTTATGCTCACCAAGGTAATTTGTATTTGTAATAATGTCATTTATTCCTGTGATGCACAGCTGAATTTTCAGCATCATTACTCCAGTCTTCAGTGTCACATGATCCTTCAGAAATCATTCTAGTATGATGATTTGCTGCTCAAGAAACATGTTAGAAACATGTTGTGCTGCTTCATATAATATAAATATAAAGATCTAAAAGAACAGCATTTATTTGAAATTGTTTCTTTTTTGTAACAGCATATCCCTTTACTGTCACATCAATTAAACGCATTCTTGCTGAAGAAAAGCATTCATTTCTTAAAAAAAAAATCTTACTGTAAATGTTTATACTTACTGGAATAGTTGGGCTACATTTTCGTCTAAAATATATTTAATATTTTAGAATTTTGGCCGTTTTTAA